GTGTGTGTGTGTGTGTGTGTGTGTGTGTGTGTGCGTGTGTGTGTGTGTGTGTGTGTGTGTGTGTGTGTGTGTGTGTGTGTGTGTGTGTGTATGTATGTATGTAAACCTCTTGTAACTTTTGAACGACTTGACCGATTTCATCGCGGTCGGTGTCATTTGAAAGGGCTTCACTAAACTTAGATTTCCTGGAAATTTGAATCGATTCGGACCGGTAGATTTCGAGAAAATGCAAAAAAAGTGAAAAAAAAAGTTTTTTTTTTTATTTTTTTCAAATATCTCCAAATTGGCTAAACCGATCGGTCTCAAAAACTAATCAGCTCTTAACCTTGAAAACCCCCATCGATCGCCATCAAAAATGTAAGAATCGGTTGATGCATTCGTAAGATATCGTTGTCGAAAAAAATCGAAAAAAGTGTTTTTTTGTAATAACTTCGAAATTCATGGCTCGATCGATTTAAACTTGAAAATTTTTCATGGAGCTTCAAAAACTGCGTCGATTGCCGCCAACCACGTGAAAATCGATTCATTCATTCAAAAGTTATTGCCGTTTGAAAATTCAAAAAATTGTGTCTTTAAACTGCTATTAGAGTTTTGAGCTCGAAGAGCTCAAATTGACGCAAAAATAATATTTTTGAGCTCGAAGAGCTCAAAAACGTAATGTGTAGTTTGAAGCGTTTAAGTACAAAATGAGCGGGAAGTTGCAGGGATGGCCTTTAGGGTGAACCGTTTTTCTAATTCTTTTAACTGTTTCGATCTTTTGATTGTTTCTGTTTCCGAAAATCAATTTTTTAAGATTATAGAATTATCTTCCATTCAATTATCTTGCCAAAAGAAAATTCCTGTTGATATCATAATCTACAAACAGTTTGATACTGGAAAAAGTGGTAGGAAAAAAAAGGTTTTTTGGAAGTACACGAAAAAAAGTAAACTGTAATAAATAATAGTCAATTTATAATAAGCAATGATTAACTGCTAAAAATTACCATTTCAAACAGTAAAATGGTGATTTAACTATTCACTTTATAATATTTACAATTTAAACGTTACAATTTACTTTTTACATGGAAGAAAATACTATTTCAAGCAGTAATATTTGCTATGTAAATGTCTAAAATGTTAAAGTATAACAATTAAGAATTCATTATTTGATATTTATCATTTCGTACCTAAAAAATGATCTTATGATATATAAAAAGTATAAAATAAAGTTATTAAATTTCTAATACAAGCAACGTCAATATTAACAAAGTAAAATGGTAAATTTTGAACGCAACGCTAGAAATCAAACTGTAATTATTGACTTGCTT